GAAATTAAATTGGAACTTGAATAAAACTGACTGTATCCCACCTTGTTGCCAGAATCCATTCCTAGCCACTGGTCACTGGGCCCTGGGGTCTCCGAGAGGCTACATGCCAAGGGCAACAGAACAAGGTGTGGTGGAGGCCTGGGAGCCACGACTGAAGTTATGCTCTCGGGATGAGGGCAGAGGACCAGCCTCATCAAGCACCACCTGTGAGCCAGAACTTTGCCAGCTGAAAAGTGGTAGAGCCCAACTTCAACACAGATCTCTTGGACCCGCTTCCCCGGGATTCTACCACACCCCAAGGCATCTGACAAGTGTCTTTGGAAGGGAATTGATGAGAAACAAGAAGCAATGAAACAAGAAGCAATGTCTTTCTTTTCATGGACTGCTGATCACTTCTGGGGACCTCAGGCCTTGCCCAGCCTGAATGATATAGCCCCTCAGTCCCCAACCCATCTGGTCAATTACTGACCCATCTCAGTTCCTGGGAAACACCATCTCCCTCATGTTTGATTTAGAGCCACATAAGAGCAGACCTCAGTTTGTCCTTAACCCTTGGCCCAGGAAGAAACAAGCCTCTGATTCAGACAAAGGAGCAAATTCAAAGTGCAGACATAGCCTAATGGTTCAGATGCTAATCCAAACTCAACAAGTATTAGTGCTGAGACCTGAAACAAGTCGTTGAATTGCCCTGGCTATTCATTCCCATCATATATCATTGGGGTGATCATGGCATCCACACGACAGGATAGTTATAAGGATGACATGGGTTAATCCTTGAAAAGTACTTAAAACAGGGGCTGGCACACGGGAAGTGCCCTGTAGATGTTAATGCTCATATTACTCAATGTCACAAGGAACTCCTGCATCACCACCACCACCACTACCAACAACAACAAAGAAAGCCCAGTAGGAAGTCCCAAGAGAGCTTAGAACAATTCAACTAGGACTGGGATTGCCTAGTCTCATGATTCCATATGAAGGGCGATTGCTCCAGGCAGTCTACTTTACCATTTCACTCAGAACATGGGAACTGTCACACTGAACTGCATGAAATTGCCAATGCTTGTCCATTTTTGACCCAGAAAAATGGCAATTTCATGTGGTTGAACCTAATAGCAGAGTTCATTTTGGGGTGGGTAAGGGCTGGTTCAGCCTCCACTCCTTTATTACCTCCTCAGCTGAGGGAGGACGTTGAGCATATTTGACCCATTTCCATAAAGAGTAAATAGTTTCTAGTAGGTGCTTCTCAAGTGCTTAAAAACTATACTGCCTTGAGAAGTTGCAACCTTCCTCCTGGAATCAATTTTGCACTATTAGATTCCTTGATATTTAAAGCCAAGAGGGATTTTAGGGGAAAAAAAAACACTTTATATTTAGATGTCTGAAGATGAGTGGTGAGTAATCAAGAATATTGATGGCATTGCTGGAGGTGCTGAAAGGCAGGGGTCACTGGAGATGATGTCTGCAACCCTGGGACAATGCTGAGCTTGTGGAAACTGAATAGACTGCAAGGTGGCAAGGTCCCTGCCATCTGTGCTCCTTGACGGCCTGCAGATTTATGGAGGAAGCATGTGCGTATGTATGGCATGTGTCCTCCCCTTTCATCTCCACCTAGCTGCTTGTTCCAGTGGTGTCAATGGCGTGCTGTGGTCCCTCTGAAGCCCAGCTTTTCCTCTATATGCTCCATGAAGTCAAGGACCACATGTGTCTTGTCATCATTGAATCCTTAGCAATTACCACATTGCTGGGCACAAAGTAAGCCCTCAGTAAATATTTTCTGAATGAATTAGTTAATAAACAAATGAAGCAAGTGGGTTCTGTCTGGCCTAGCAATCATAGTTTCCAGGAGGAAACAATGAAGTCTTATGAAAATCCTTTCCAAGAACTTCAAGTGCTTGGGGAATAAATGCCTGAGATTGTCATGGGTGTTGTCTGTGATTGTGGTCAAGGCTCCCCAAAGCAATGAAAGCCTGAGCTCTCAGAGTGATAAAAGCCGCAGAAGAAGAGGAGGCCAAAAAAAAGGTTAGTATGGGTCAATAGCTCCACTGAGGGGTGACAAAAAAGGGTTTATCTGCAGGAAGGAGGATTTGACCAGGCCTTCCATGCACTGTGGGGATGTGAGGCAGAGTGCACATCTCCTCCTCCAACATCTTTAAAAGCAGAAAGCCTCCACTATTATCACATTACCCCCAACTAACTCATAAGCAGTGAAGCCTTGGGCTAA